GCAAAGTAAACAAATTACTATAATAATGTATCTTTATGGCCAACTCAACAGGATGGAGTGTAATACTTAACTGTAATGAAATTTTGTTTAAGTTTCATTTCTTGGGCTAAAGAGAAACAGTAAGTTCTAGTGAATTATTGTAAACTTTGAATTCAGAGGGGAAAAAGATGACTTGCCATTTTGCCTCCCTTTCCTTTTTACTTTTCTCAGTTTCTGAATCTTTTTTGTGTGAAGCCTTGGTTGGTGTCTGGTGTTGGGATAGGTCACTGGGCTAAGGGAGCTGAAGCATAAATCCTGATTGATGGATAATTGGACAAAATACTTGAAAAAGAAAAGCTCAGTAAGAGTCTTTTTTCACCAGTAAGCAAACAACACGCAGTTATGCTCTCTTTCCTTATGGAAGCTGCTGGTTAAACGGGATAGGCCATGCTCCTTGGACAGGATTAGTCTTCACATCGAGTCTGTGGTAATAAGATCAGTAAAGTAGCATGTCATTCAGTGTGAAGTGGTAGAAAGGTCGTTGTTACCTTGGAAACATCTTGGTAATCTTCTAGACTTAGTCTGAGTGTAATTTTCTGGATGTAATCTGTAAGTGGGCAAGTATGTGGTACATTCCTTGGAACTTTGACTTTTAACAGGTGGATAAGGATCTCTTTTGAAGGAAGTACTCTTGTCTGCTTTGACACAGCCTGCCACCATTTAGAACCAAGATCAGAAAGCTCATGGCTGGGCAGGGGTGGCCTGTCAAAGCAGACTTTCTGGTAGTATCTTGGACCCAGAACAAAGAGAAATCAGTGGTTCTGTTGATGTGGTGCCTGGAACTGCGCTGGCTCCTGCTTACAGCAGAGAAATCGCCCAGGGAATTCTTACCTCCCTCCTTCCAGAGCTTTCCAGTAGACACAGCTCCTAGATGCCAGTAGGAAACTGGTGCTGACTTATTCCTTCTTGCTCGCCACCATTCTTAGGGTGCTCTCTGCGATGTTCTTTCACAGCATAGAGTCAGCTGTCCCTGCCCAGAAGTTGACTCCTGCCTCCCTTGCTTTCTCCTGAAAACCTGACTGATGAACCTTAACAACAGAAATGAGGGCAAGGCTGTGGTTCAGTCTGCCTTCCTGAAAGCTTTGATGGAATGATGCCAGGATTATACCACTAAAGCCACCTGCCAAGGTGGGAGCATGAGTATGAGAGCTTGGAAGCCTGCAGGGACCCTACATACCAGGTTCTAGGAAGACGCTCCTGGCCTTTCTGTAGGATGCGCCTCCTGCACATTTTGGCTACTGCTATAAATGTGTCACTCACTTTGATTTAGCCTCAGATAAAAGACAGGTTATTTCACTTTAGAGACTATCAAATTAGGGAATCATAAACCATGTTAATGACCCAGTGAAGGCTGATCTGGAAGCTTCCCCCAAACGCATAATAGCATAGGCAACATTTTGCTGGTGTTGAATGGTGAACAAGGCAAAGGTGGATTTTTTTTTTTTCTTTTCCCATTTCTGGAAACCTCCTCACTGCTATACAGCAAAATCATATTTCTTATAGACTTCTCAAAGTGATCTGTCAAAAAGATGGTATAACCTGGGAATACTGTCAGCATTGTAGGCTGAGGGGGAGAGATGGTATGCAGGCCTGTGGTGCTGCCCAGATAAAATGGGGAACCCTGGATCTTTTTAGAGGTCCCTCAGTGGCGCAGTTTGCACTGGGCAACTAAACAAAAGGTTGGCGGTTCGAACTCACCCAGCAGTGCTGCAGAGCAAAGGCCTAGCGATGAGTTTCTGTAAAATTTACTACCAAGAAAACCCGGTGGAGCTCGTTCTATACTGTAACACACGGGGTCACCATAAGTCAGAATCAACTTGGTGGCAACAGGTTTGGTTTTTTGGTTTTTGGGGTCTTGAGAGCTGATTGGAGAATAAAAATAGAAATGAATTTTCCTTAACAGCCCCCAGTTTAAAGTGTTCTGAACATCTTTTACTCTATAAAGTTCTGATTCTCTTCCACTAATTGGTTCTCTGATCCAGGTGACATAGTTGACTTTATCAAGCACTTGCTGTTTGCAGGACTATATCCACATGTCATAGAGAGGTTTTAAGAAACTTAAACATCCATGGGAGATAGAACAAACCAGAGGAAAATCATTTTTCTCCTAGACGACTTAGTTAGGGACACCTCAAAGCAGAGCCCAAGACAAGGACTTGGGTGCAGATAGTTTGATGAGAAATAATCTTAGGAAGCAGGAGTGAGTGAGACAGAGAAGGAGGAAAAGCCAGTGCAAGAGTGTGTTTTCAAGGCCGTGAGGACTCGATGCCACCAAGAGCATCAAGAAGTATTCACAACACCTCCCAGAATTACCTGTGTGAGGGCAGGAGGCTGGACCAGTATCCACCAGCTCCTGTTCCCCATGAGGGTTGTCCCAGTGGCATGAAGTCCACCTCTCGTCCAGGCAGTGCTTGTGTCATGCATTTAGGGTCAGAGAAGGCCCTGTGGCCAAAAACGGAAAGACTCCAGGTATGTGTGTTTGGGGATGTTGTTAGCAGTGAGTCTGCGCTTGCCCAGAACTGGCCAGTGCAGCTGCAGCTGAAGTTAAGAGTCCCCAGATCAGTGCTATAGTAGGAAAAGAACTGGAGTGTGATGGAAACACCACCAGGAGGGTATCTAATCCAGAGATCGGGGAGGGGAGGCTTCCTGGAGGGGGTGGTTTCTAAGCTGAGGTGAAGGCTAGATGCATGGGAGGGAGGCAGATGGAGGTGTTCAGGGAACTGCAAGTTCAGGACTGTGGCTCGAGCACAGATTACAGGGATAGATGTGGCAAGAGAAGATCAGGAAGAGCTTTGTTAAGGAGTTTAGATTTTATGATAAGGACAGTAAGGGATCACGGAGGAGACATTTAAGCAGAAAGACATGATAAGCTTTGTGTTTTAGAAAATTCACTCTAATGACAGCATGCAAAATAGACAGCAGCATGGGGCAGGTATGTGAGGGGCAGGACAAAGCAGAAGTCAGGGAAACCAGTTAAGAGGCTGTTGAATTACCCATGTGAGAGAATATAATCATGGGTAGGAAGGTGACTAGTGAATAGATTTGAGACCTGTTAAGTTTCCATATCCCCACTCTATGCTCCGCTCCTGTAAATGTATCTAGTCTGTGTGTGTGTGTTGATGGAGAGGTTGTTGCAGGGATTGAGTAGTTAACTCGAAAGGAATTTTTAAAGGTTGAGATTTGAAAGCTCATAAAGAGCTATTTGGAGTCTTAAACAAAATTGGGAAGTAAAGTTGCCGTCAGAAAAAGCAGCTTCCATATTAGAGGTGAGATGGCAGTACTCCACACAGGCAAGACTCCGGTTTGTCCTCCACGTGCATTAGCTATCAGGTTGACCTTTGTTATGTTTAACTTCTCTGGACTTTTTATTTGTCCAACTCAAAAATGAGATGATGAGGCCTGCCTGGCCTATCTGATGGATCTTCAGCTCAGTGTGTGGTGGGGTGGGACCGATAGGGAAGATAACATCCTCTGCCCAAATTCAGTAGAACACGAATGTTTAGGGCAGTTGTTCAGCCCCAGGAGTCCTGTGTTCAGCGTAGATGCTGATCTGCTGGCTCACCTGGAGCAGAAGCAGTGAGTCTCCTTCACCAGCACTGTGCAGCAGGAGGTGGGGTTTCAGGATGGGCCAGGGTGACACTAAATCATCCTGAAGGCCCCCCTCCGACTCTGAGACGCAGTGGTCCTCCTTCATTGGCTGTAGTGAGAATCTGTTGAGAAAATGGATATGAAGGCACTTGGAAAACTGGCTTGCTAGGCAAGTGAAAGGTATTGTTGTCGCTGTTACCAGTAGGTCTTGTGATGTTAGTGCAGAGTTCTTAAATGTTTTAGCTGTCTTGCATATATCCCTTTGAAGCAGGAAAAAGCCCAGTTTCCTTCAGGCTACTGTATAACTTGTTTTCATTTCATAAAGAGACTGAAAGCAATGTTCCTTTTATAGTTCTACCCCTAATACCACCCTCTTATTAACTAATTGCATTGTTTTTCTAATTTTATCTCATGTATTTAACATGGATGGAACACTTTACCTGCTAGAACTTGAATTTGGGCATGTGGGGTTGCTCCCACTGTCCATGATCGCATCACCAGCAAGCAGAACACAGGCTGTTTATTCCTGCTTTCAGAGTGAGGAATGTTCTTCACATCCTGGGAGGAACCAGGCCCTGACTCACAGGAGTTGAAAGGAAACAAATTTTAGAGTCCTTTTAAAATACTGTGACTTCTTGTTCATTAGTGTTGGGAACTGATTGTCTTAAAATTCCCTGGGGCTTTCCTGCACAAATGATGGCAGTGATTCAGAATGGCTAACAGCCATTGCACCTCTGCTGTGTGCCAGGTGCTGGTTTAAGCACTTTACATGTAAGATACACTCTGACCCCATGAGTCTTAAAGTATTCATTTTGTATATTAGGAAACAGATGCACGTGTTCTTAAATAACTACCTAGCATCACATAGTGAGTGAGAGCTGGAATTTGAACCTAGGCATGTGACTCCAAAGCCACCCTCTTCATCATGTGGCTCTTCTCCCTCCCTGCAAGTGGAGACCTGTCATGCAGAGCAGACAGAGGTTGTAGGATTTCTGTCCCCAGTTCCAGTCAGAGATATTAAACAGGAAAGGCACATTGGAATTCTGGGGTACTTTCAGGGTTCTCCACAGTGGAAGGAAATACCCTAGATATGAACATGGCTCCCATTATGATCAATAGCTGTAATCCAGGGAACCCCACATCAATTAAAAAAAAAAATTCATCAAGAGATCCTAGTTTTGCATGGGAAATCCAGGGTGGAAAGGAAGAGTGTGCCGTCACAGTACAGGGAGAGTAACTAAGGTCACATAACAATGTATGTATAAATTTTTGTATGACAGACTAACTTGAATTGTAAACTTTCACTTAAAGCACAATTAAAAAAAGAGAGATCGTAGTTTTTACATGCTGTTTCATGTTTTCTCTTTCCTTAGGTTAAAGAGATCAAGTGGTATGAGCAGCCTTCTGGGGAAAATTGGAGCCAAGAAGCAGAAAATGAGTACCTTAGAGAAGTCCAAATTAGACTGGGAGAGCTTCAAGGAGGAAGAAGGGATTGGAGAAGAACTGGCCATCCATAATCGAGGAAAAGAAGGGTAAGAAGTAGAAGATGCTATTCCTTTGAAAATTCTAAGAACTCTGAAATCATTTATTGCAAACTACTCAATTTAAACAGGTAGGAGCTTTTCATGGTGAGACGAAAAATGTTAGTACTCTGGTTTGTCCACAAAGATCTGTGGGGCAGATCTTGTCAGTGAGAGCCCCTGAGGTGAAGGGAAGGAGAGGCTTGTGAACAGCACTTCCGTCAGGGAACATTCACGTCTGTCGAGCTGAGTTTGCCAAATTTTAGCTCCAGTGAGCTGTAAATTGCCTGGTCTGTTCACATGGTCAGATCTGGCCCACTCCATTAGCCTTGGCCTGATTTAAATTATTTGGCCGTCTGAGAAGACAGACTAGCTCTCAAATGCTTCCAAAGCAGAGCCACCAGAGTGCCTAGATATTGTCACATTTACCATGGAAATATTTTTATCCATGTCATGGTGGCCCAGAGTGGGGCTTCACCCTTACTGACAAGCCTGTGTGACAGGCCATCACTTGCAGCAGCTTCCTCTTCATTTTGGAATACAAGGAAAATGTCCATAAACTATATACAGTATCCAAATTGTGAAAAGGATCCCTTCTTGTCGTATTTGTCTTCCTGGTGATTCAAGAAAAAAATGGTGTTCAGTGAGTAGTTACGTGACCTCAGAAGGAGCACGGTTACTGCAGAAGTGGGTCCATGGCTCAAGGTCAACATTCCCACCCCCAGCAGTGAAAGGAGGTTGTGAGTGGTCCATCACACAACCCTGGGTGCTCCTTGCCCCTCCCCCTCACCAGTAAGGTTTCCTCAGGCAGCACGCTGGCTGAGCTCCTTCTCCACTAAAATTGGGATAATGATACCACCCTCATTGGATGGTTGTGAGAATTTCATGAGATGATATGTGTAATATATGTATTAGATACGTATATGAAATATATGCAAAGCACTTTGCAGAGTGCCTGTCACATAAAAGCATGCATTAAGTGGTAGTCATCCAGGTTACTAATAAGCTAAAGTATAATAAAGAGATAGGTTAGGAATGTGTTTTGGCGTCATGTTTCTAAATTAGGCTTCAAGATTATTTCAGTGAACCTGGCAGCTGACCGACAGATTAAGAAAAATATTTAAATGACTATATGAACTTCTTTAACTACCAGACTTCTAGGTCATCTGTCAAAGATAGAATGCCACAGGATAGAGGCGGGGGTGCCACCACCATCTGAGGCTGGCCTGGGGCGAAGTGCAGGCAGGATAATCAGTGTTATCTGGAGAGGGCCTCTGACTCTCCAAGAGTGGGCTGCTCTGACATTGTGCCTCAAACCTCTTCCACTCTTTGAATAAGCTCTAGTAACTCACAGCTTCCTCCGGCTGTCTGCTTTTGCACCATCATCTGAGGCAACAGAGGAACTGCCAGTGTGCTATACTTTATTGCTTCTGTGAGTACTGATTGTAGGGGTTAGACATTTGCTCTGCTCAGGTTAACAGAGGTGTTGTAAAAGTAAGGAGTGATGCTGTTAAAGATAAGCTAGAGTTAATAAAATGTAGACTGGAAGAGAAAACAAGATTAAAAAGGACATCTGCTCAGTGGGGACCTCTTCAGGCAATGGAAGATAGCCTGACTGGGTTAGGGAACAAGTAATAGACTGTAACTTTCATGCTCTGCTTTTCTCTTCTTCGCCTGAGGTTTCTTCCCCCCGGCCAGATGATTCCACAGATCTGATTGTGTTTTTCCAGTGCAGATCTGACTACTTCTGTGCTCTGCCTCCTGCTCTTCTCGCTTGTGTTCTTTAGTGTCACCCCACATCTTCACTCACTCTCCTTCCTTGCTCCTGCAGGCATATTAAAGGAACTCAACACCTAGCCCAAGGAAGAGACTTTAGCTCAGGTTCTCACCTGGGCTGTCTTAGTTATCTAGTGCTGCTGTAACAGAAATACCACAGGTGGATGGCTTTAACAAACAAATTTATTTTCTCACAGTTTAGGAGACTAGAAATCCAAATTCAGAGCGCCGCCTCAAGGGGAAGGCTTTCTTTCTCGGTAAGCTCTGGAGGAAGGTCCTTGTCTCTTTAGCTTCTGCTTCCTGATTCCTTGGAGATCTCTGTGTGTCTTGGCATCTGTATTACCCCATCTCTATTCTGTTCACTTGTTTAATCTCTTTTATATCTCAGAAGAGATTGACTCAAGAGTAACACCCTACACTAATCCTGCCACATTAACATAACAAAGACAGCCCATTCCCAGATGGGATTATAACCATAGGCATGTTGTTGTTGTTGTTATGTGTGGACTCATAGTGACCCTATGTACAACAGAATGAAACACTGCCTGATCCTGTGCTATGCTCACAAACATTGCTATGTTTGAGTCCATCGTGGAAACCACTGTGACAGTCCATCTCGTTGAGGGTCTTCCTCTTTGTTGCTGAACTTTTACTTTACCAAGCATGATGTCCTCCAGGGACTGGTCCCTCCTAATAACATCTTCAGAGTGTGAGAGACAAAGTCTCACGATTCTTGCTTCTAAGGAGCGCTCTGGCTGTACTTTTTCCGAGACAGATTTGTTCTTCTGGCAGTCCATGGTATAGTCATTATTCTTCGCCAACACCATAATTCAAAGGCATCGGTTCTTCTTTGGTCTTTCTTATTCATTGTCCACACTCCCATGCATATGAGGTGACTGAAAATACCATGGCTTGGGTCAGGTGCACCTTAGTCCTAAGGTGACATCTTTGCTTTTTAACACTTTAAAGAGGTCTTTTGCAGCAGATTTGCCCAGTGTAATCCTTAACAACTTCCGTCTTTTCTGTTTATCATGATGTTGCTTATTGGTCCAGTTGTGAGGATTTTTGTTTTCTTTACACTGAGGTATAATCCATACTGAAAGCTGTAGTCTTTGATCTTGATCAGTAAGTGTTTCAAGTCCTCTTCACTTTCAGCAAGCAAAGTTGTGTCACCTGCATATTGCAGGTTGTTAATGCGTCTTCCTCCAGTACTGATGCTGTACTTTCTTCTTCATATAGCCCAGCTTCTTGGATTATTTGCTCAGCGTACAGACTGAATAAGTATGGTGAAAGGATACAACCCTGATACACACCGTTTCTGAACTTAAACCACGCAGTGTCCCCTTGTTTTGTTCGAATGACTGCCTCTTGGTCTATGTACAGGTTCCTCATGAGTACAGGCATAGAGATTAGGAGTTACAACACATATCTTGGGGGGACATAGTTCAATCCACAACATTGGCTAAGCATGGTAATCACCTGGGGAAATTTTCTAAAGTTCAGGTGACAGGGCCCGCCCATGTGTGGATCTGCTGAATCAGGAGTCTAGAAAGTTAGGTCACAGATACCTGTATGTGTAAATCACTCCTCAGGCGATTCTGATGCACAGCCAGGGTTTAGAATCAGTAGACCAGAGGATCAGAATTCTAGAAGAGGGAGCAGGACAATCTGCTGCTGAGTGAGCCTTTCCAACAGACACAAGTAGAGAACCGACTTCAAAATAGGTAATTCTAAGAAGAGCAAAAAGATTTTTGTTGAGAAGTATGCCTAGTACCACATTGTTACAAAGGAGGGAAGCACAAGAACCAAACCTGTAAAGTCTGGGCAGAGGCAAGTCAGGCCCCCAGATTCTCTTACACAGATGCAGACGAGCAAAGGCATTACCTGAGGAGAGGATAGGTGGAGAATCCGAAGGAGCATACCCTGGGAACAGAAGTGATTTTTGCTGATATTAGGAAGAAGGTAGAAAATCCTCTGCTCACTTTTTCCCACATGCCCTTACTGACCATACTTTCTAGGGCCTTGCTAGAAAGCTGGATGTTTCTTTCCTTTTTAAATCCCTTCCTGATGCATTCCTGCCACCCGTTCAGGGATATTTTCCACAATGGTGGCAAGTACCACTTGGGGGCATCTCTTCCCAGTCACCTCTCTTCTTCTCTGAGTTTTTCAACATGCAAGTCCCAGAGCTGGACCCTGGGCAGGCCGCCTCTTGTCTTCACATTCTGTCCCCAAGGGAAGTTCATTAGTCCCATGGCTTAGGTACCATTTTCTGCTAAGGACTCAGAATAAACCACTCCCACCCGACCATTCCACTAAGCTCCACCAGATTCACGTATTCAGCTCTCTAGTTGATATCTCTGTTTGGCTGTGCCTCCCACACATCAAAATTAACATACAAAACTGAATACCTACTTTCTCTCCATGAATGGACTCTTTCCTCAGACTTCTTGGAAAATGGCACTATCACCACCCACCCTACTGGTAAATGAAAAACCAAAGAGTCGTCCTTGATTTCCTGTTTCCACTCATATTCCGCAAGTCCAGTTGGTGCTTCCTTCACAAAACATCTCCATCCATCTTCATTCAGCCCCACTCCCACCACCCAGTACAAGTCACCACTATCTTTTGCCAGGATGACTGCAGACATCTCCAAACTGTACTCGCTGCTTCTGCTTTTGTTTCCTTGAATCTATCCTCCATACAGTGGACAAAGTGATATTTTAAAATTATAAACCATTTCTTGCCTGTTCTCTGTGGAAAGTCCTCAGTAACACTTAAAATGAATGTTAAACTCCTTGCCCTGGCCTCCCAGCCCTCCCTGAGCTGGCCCTGCCTGCCTGTTACCCTCCTCTCCCCTGCTTACTGCACCCAGCCTCTGCCCATCTCGTGGTGCTCCTCCTTCACACCTTCCCAGGACAGACTCCTGTTTTTCATTAGAGCTCGGCTCGGATGTCACCCCCTGAACCGACTCTCTCTCACTGAACACCAGGGAACCTTTTTCAGTCACATCACTCTGTTTTATTTGCTCCCTTGCACTTACGATCAGTGGAAGCATGTTGTCATCTTTTGTTCTAAGGTTTAAATCCTCACGGGCAGGTCTCATTCACTACTCTGTCACCAGCACCTAGAACAGCACCTAGCCCAGAGCAGGTGCACGGCAAGTGAACCACTGCATTGTCTAAATGTCCGTCCTGCTTGCTGCCAGCCAGCCATGCCTTTGTTTGAGGGCCTAGTAG